TGGATTGATCAAGTTCAAACTTCACACACACAAGGTACATCATGTCACGAATATGTATGTGCATTTGTTTCATGATCCGCTTAACAATAGCTGAATGATGGCCATTTTAAGGCCGAAAATGCATCAAAATCACGTATTTTCACAATTCAGGAACCGGATCTCAGTCATGCATGGATGGATTTTGTTCAGATTTAGTACAATATGTTGTACATATGCTTTGAATGTATATGTCACTCAAATATGAACGGAACGGGGACGTGTCATTGACAATGACTTGTATTTTTCAGATTGGATTCAAAATAGCTGACTGGCGGCCATTTTTCTTTTAATGATTGGGCTTCGAGAGCCATATCTCTTACATGCTTTGACTGATTATGTTCAAATTTTATATATTCGTGATACATCATGTATATATATATATATGTATGTATATGTATTCAAAATGGCTGATTTTGAATGCTGTGCAGCATTCCCATTCACGTACTGCAGTACGTAATTCACGTATAAATAAAATAGTGTGCGCCAAATCTCAACTCATCTACGTTCCATTTACGTATAAAATTATTTTGCGCGTACGTTTTTCATAGGTCTACGTCAACGTTAATTTAGCCTGAAAATCATTGAACTCCGCGCGGACATTTGACAACCGGCTTGTAAGTTACGTAAAACGTCGGGTGTTGAACGCAAGATGGAAAAGCCAAACAGTAGGTGTAGTTTTTTGTAACAGAAAAAATGATTGGTTAATTTTGTAATGATGATGGAAAAATCGCCAATCAAACGACCGTTTACGTGATAAAACATCAGTGACGTCATCGTAAACGAGGGTCATTGTAGAAGAAAATGGCGGCATATTAGCTCGTAGTTGCTTGCAGTTAGCGAGGACCTTACACGTTTAACTCTAACATATCAACTGTATAACTGGTATGTATTCTGTTTTCAAATTATTTTCGCTGTTTTTAAAGTAATCTCTGTAATTTTGAACAACGTATTCATTGATATTTGCTTGCATAATGCGTTTATTGTAGTGACAATGTGGGAATCCAAGCCGTAACACATGTTTGAGTTTTACTGTCTCGTACACTGTAACAGTAGAATTTTACTGTAGTTAATTTTAATGGTTTTTTTCGTGCAAAATAATTGCCAACTCTGAACTGTCACGTGCTGGAATTCTACCATGGCCGACAGAGCCGAGGGTCAGCATGATCGTATTAACACAATATTTAATTATTTTACGGCAGGTAGCGGTACGCACCATGGACAGTTTGGTGTTCAAAACGAAAAACAGGCAGTCACGCCCGAAGATGTTTACCCGGAGCAGGCAGATGCTGTGGATTTTAATCATAAGCTCGTGGAGGGCCAAGTAGTAGCCTCTGAAACCGAAGTCTGTGAACACCATGTGACGACAGGTAAAACCTATACTGCAGGTCAAAAGTTATTTTGTAATTGTTTAGGTAAATAAATTAAAATGTGAATTAAAATAGAAAAGCCTGCCTTCATTTTAATATGAAATGTTTGTTTTGATAAAATACTAATACCACTTCCAGTGACTTTGAAATTGTATACCGTTATATATTATATGATGCAGTATTAAACGAAATTTTATTCTGTAGGTAGTGTTTTTTTTAAAATTAATATTTTACTGTTTTGTATATTTTATTACAATTTATACTTATGAATCACTGACATTGCATTGGTATTTTTTATTTAAAAACTAGACTCCCAGTGACTATAACTTTTTTTTACCTTAATTTTTAATTGTTTGTTGTTAAGGTACCAACATATTGTGCGATGATTGGAATACCACATAAAATTTAAATTTAATTTGCTTGTCACAGAAGCAGGTGGCCAGCTGGCAGTGTAGTTGACTTGTTTTAACATTTTAGTCACTGGTGTGCTTAACTAATAATTTCATACCTCGCAGATAGCACCAGAGAGAAAGAATCTGGCTACACACAAGACAAGGACAAGCCCAAATTCAAGAAAAGATTTCAACAGAAATGGTTGATGGAATTTGATTGGCTACAACACAATTCTGATCATGCATTAATGTTTTGTGGTACTTGTAAACTTGCCAGTGGTGCCAGAAACAGTCTTAAATCTAATGCATTTGTTAAAGGCACATCAAATTATCAGCGGTCTGCACTTACTAGACATATGAACAGTGATGACCATGTCTTGGCCAAGAAAACAGTTACTCAGCAGAGGTTTATGGCAGCAGCTAAAGTGACTGTACAGAAGCAATATATGCCAATGCTTGAATCACAATTAAGAACAGCTGCCTGGATGGCAGAGCAGAATATAGCCAATAATAAATTTCTGCCACTCATTGACTTGCAGGTGAGAACTAGTATATTTTCTGTTTTTTGTCACTTTCAGTAAGACATTGCCAATTGATTATAATTGAGTGTTACTTTTGCACAGTACTTTATTCTTCATATAATTAAATATACTGTATTTTTTCTTCTTACCAGATTGCAAATGGATCATCTCATTTCACAGATAGAAAGGGTATATACACCAACCACCAAGCCCCAGCGACAATGCAGGAATATATGGCTAAAGTTTTGAAAGAAATGGCTATTGTGCGCATTAAAGACAGTCCATTTTTGGGGATAATGGTTGACGAGTCTCTAGACATTGCCACAAACAAAAAACTGATAATGTTTTGCAAAATTATTCACAATGGGAAAATACAAATTGAATTTGCTGCCAATATTAGTATTCATGATGGGAAGGCAGATACTGTGTACAATTGTATTGTTGAGTGGTTGCAGGAAATCGGCTATAATATAAATAAAGTCAGTGGTTTTGGGAGCGATGGTGCTTCAGTTATGACAGGAAGATTAACAGGTGTGGGGGTCAGGCTAAAAGCTTTAAATCCCAAAATAGTTCATATCTGGTGTGCAGCTCATAGGCTTGCTCTAGTTTCATATTGGGCATCAAAACGTATACCTTATTTGCATTCCATTAATGAAATATTAATTGCCATATACAATTTCTACAATTACTCTGCTCCAAGATATGTGAAGATAAAAGAGTTGCAGGCATTACTTGGCAAAAAAGTGAAACGCTTTAAAAGGCCCAGCCAGATCAGATGGTTATCCATGTCTGATGCTGTCGATGCTTGCTACGAGTCATATTCTGCCCTGGTATTAGGACTTGAGCATGAGGTAGCTTCCTCGCCAAACAGCGAGGGAGGTAACAAAGCCAAGGACATATTAAAAAAAATCAAAACTTTTAAATTCATTGCAGCACTGTGCTTATTGAAAGACATTTTGAAAAATCTGGATCAAGTTTCTAAAACATTCCAGAAAAATGTTTTGGATATACACCAACTGAAAACTGTGATTAAGGCAACTAGAAATCTAATTAATTCTTATCGTGACAATGACCCCCCAACTTTGTCGACTTGTATCCAAATGATTGATGAGAATGAGGAATTCCAAGGTATTCCACTAAAGTGTAGTTTGCAAGACAGCTTGGTGTTGCATCGTTTGAAAATAAAGTATGTTAATAATCTGCTAAGTGAAATTGACAACAGATTTCCTGATGATGAGTTGGGTATTCTAAATGACCTAAATGTTGTATTAAATCCAAAATTATTGCCCATGCATGAAGTAGGCATTAGAAACCATGGAAATGATAGTTTTAGAAAGGTGCATTGTAAAATATGGAGGGGATGACGAAATGTCCATCAATGCTCAGAGAAGCAGGGATGTATTTTTGCAGTTTAAACATTTAGTAAATGTTAACAGAGATTTGAGCTTACAAGACTTCTGTTTATTGATTGTAAATGAATATGATAATTTTCATGATTTTCAAATTCTTGCCAGTATCCTTGTTACTTGTCCTCTCACATCTGTTCCCTGTGAGCGTGGTTTTTCGTTACAAAATAGGCATCATAATGCTGCCACGAGTAGAAGAACTACTGACAGTGTTGAACATAGAATGATAATTGAGTATGCATCCAAGCAACCAGGATACAATCAGGATGAGGTTGTCAGATTAGCAGCTATAAAATTTCATGAAGACCGTGTGTAAATTTGTCTAAAAATGAGAATTGCAAAATAAATAAATTCTGTGAAATCTTGTGTATAATCTTTATTCTGTGCTACAACAACCACTCCGAGTGCAGATGAATAATACTGGCCCTCCTAGAAATACCCCCAATTTTTGATGTAGAGGGTACAGGTGTACCCCCAAAATGTGTGTTATACCTCCAGTTTTCTGTATAGAGGGTACATATACCCTCAGTTAAAAAAGACAGTGGGAATGCTGTTGTCAGGTGTGTAGTAAAAAGTCCAAGGTGTTATACAAAGACCGTGCTTTTGAAAATTTAGGTCCTAAACTTTTTAATGAATTACCTCTGTCTGTTCGTTCTAGTCCTTCAGTAGACATTTTTAAATCCAGACTGAAAACGCACTTATTTAAATGTGCTTTTAATATTTGACTGATTGTTTATTGTATCAGCGCCTTTGATCTTCATATGTTGGAATTGTTGCGCTTAATTAAATAAAGTTATTATTATTATTTATTATTAGTATTAAAAATTCTAACAAAAATTTGGCAGTTCTGTGAATATTCTGTATATTTGTTGGAAAGAATTAAAGTTTTTTGGGACATTTAGTGTATACCTTCAAATTATTAATCACTGAGCATGACTGTCATGTAAAGTCAGGTTTATCAAATGTGAGCTATGCAACTAGTGTGTTACATTGTATGTGATGAGAATCTCATTCAAAGTCACACAAATTGCGAGTTGATCA